CTCCCTCTCTCTCTCACACACACACCCTCCCTCCCTCTCTCTCACCTATCTCCACGTCACTACCTCACACCCACCCTTTTCTCACGGCTGTTCTCGCCTCTGCTGCCTCGCCTCTTCTCACCAAAGACTTTCGCAATGCCAATTCGCCCCGATCGTCCCCACCACCCCTCAACTTCATCTGCCTCCCTGCACTAGAGACACTACGTATTGGAATGCAGAGGCAGCAGAGCAGCACAGGCACCGCGTGTGGGTAAAGTTTCGAAGGTCTCGGTCGGGTGGCGACTTTGAAAAAACCTGTACAACACCCAGTTTTACGAATTATTTATATCTTAATAATGGTATTAAAAATATGACATCATACCAATAACGTGATTCTCTTATAATGTCAGATGTTGTGTCGAAAACGGTGCATGCAAAAACTGTGTGATTCTGAAGTAGTAAGGCCGAAGTTTATATTTCCATCCATTTTAGGAGGTGAATTAAAGGTTATAACATTCAACAAGATCAGTACTCATTCTTTCAGTACTCAGAAAGCGGTAAGAGTGAAGGGGTAGAGCGACATCACCGCATTCTGCGCAACTCAACCTCACCGCGCGTCGAGTCGCAGGGCAGTACTTGGTATGGGACTTGCCGGACTTGCACACTTTCTGCATGCGAAAAAATTCATTTGATTTTTCTTTTTGTAAGAGGGGCTTGAATTTATAGGCACGAGTTTTGGGGGGCGCGGTACTAGGGCGCGCCACGCCACCACAAGGTGGGGGAGGACAATAGGCGCGCTCGGTCGAACAGCTGATTTACTGGCGCCCTCTCCTTGGCGGTGTCCCCCCGCCCCCTCCCCCCATTCCTCTCATTCTCACACCCCCCTCTCTCCCCTGCCATCTGCGCCAACAGACAGCAACAAGGAATCCAAAGTTGGAGTCCGAGAGTCTGTCGCTTGTTGGTCGGCTCCCCCTCGGACCTGCCGCGCGCTTCGAGGCGTATAGGCCCCGCCAGTCCCCACCCAACTCTGCACTACAATGGGCTCCGGCAGAGGCAAAACAATAAGGCTCCACTTACCATCTCCTTAGCACCTTCTAGGAAGGTACTGCTACCTCAGGCGTACCCCCCCCCAACGGTAGGTAAGCAATTTTTTCTACAAAACCCCTGAAAGTAGGCAACCCACAGTAAACCACCCCCTCCGTCAGACGGACTTAAACCCGCGCCTGTGCTACATACTCTGTTCTGGGACCCACAATGTGGATGCCACTGTGTTTCAACAAGCACTAAATCTGCATTTGGCACCTTTGCGGCATGCCAGCGTTTTTATATGGTCTCTAGAGCACAAACACCTACTACGTAACACCTTTTAGGTTTTTGCAGGAAAAAGGGGCGGGGGCTGAGAGGGCATAATGTTTTTTCAGACAATTTTCACCGCGCCCTCGTAGGCAGGCACAAGAAAGTGACGTAAGATTTGTCGAGTGGGGGTGTGGGAGTAGGTGTAGGGTGAAGGGTGAGGCGGAGAAACCATTCTCAATTCCTACCCCCATCTCTCCCTCCCTCCCTCTCTCTCTCTCTCTCTCTCTCTCTCTCTCTCTCTCTCTCTCTCTCTCACACACACACACACACACACACACACACACACTGTCTCGGCGCCAGCAGGAAAGAGAAAGGGGAGTGGGAGGTGGACTGCTTCGAGAGGTCGAAGGCTAGTTAAAGGACCCCCCAGGGCAGCTCACGGTGTCGACTTCGGTAGGAGGAGGAGTCCAGTTAAAGCCAGCTCTGCGTCTGGCGCCGTCCGTCCGGCGCGTGGAACTGCGACAGCGCCGTTCAGCGGCGAAGGGGGCCGGCGGGCGAGCCCGGCTTCTGCAACTATTGGCCGCGCCCGGAACGGAATGGCGAATGGCCCCGCAGAGACACACCTAGCGAAAGCTGACCGGGGGGGGGGGGCAAACAGAAGACTCTTG